AAAGTTGAAACGGCACCCCAGAGATTTGTCTATAGTAGGATTTGCATAGAATCTCCCAACTAATACAAGAGAGTAAAATATAATTTTTGTACCTCTAAAATTATTTTGATATCTTAATGTTTACTTTTTTAAACTTCTTTCGCATTTATAGATCAGCTTATTGTTCTAAGAAAGTCAATTGGAAAGTAAAATAGTATATACTAAATCCTTATAAATGTATTACATTGAAAACTCATTATAGTAATTTAATAAGCGTAGTTAGATGTGGTAGAAGACTACAAGTATTGACTATCCATTTAGTATCGAATTCACTACTCAATCGTAATTGATATAGCAAAAAAAACTTTCGAAGTGCTCCCAGTACTTAATGTTTAGTGATTTACTACGGGGAGCTTGATTTTGTACAATGCCGTAGGTATAGAGCACCTAGTGAGCACTAAACTCACTATTCAGTTGCAATTGTTCTAGTGGTAAAATCTTGATAATTATTACACCACGTCTAAGTGCCCATTGTATGCTCATTATTCTACACGCACACAACGTATAATATGAAAGCCTGACCTTGAAAAAAAAACTATTTATATCATGCAAGTACCGTATATACTCCCGTATCATGCGACTTTTGAAGATCTAATTTTGAAGCTAATTTTAAGGGGGTCGCACCATACATGAGATATAAAATTAGTGTATAGTACTACTCGCCATTCTACACCGTTGACCAAACTATATATCCACTTACTGTAGTCAAATTACCTTCAAATTTAGGCTTTCAAATGTCACATGATACTCGAGTATGTACAGTATATTTGAAAATATCAATAATTGAGAGAGAGGACAGTGTATGTCATTAAAAATATTAACTAATTTGTAGTAAATTGATTCTAAAGAGATTTTTTTAACAAAGCTATCATCACGCAACTAATCACTTACAGCATATCAATCAAGATTTTTTTAATTTTAACATTAAAAATGCAATTAAAAATAAATCCTCTTTAAGTTGTAAGCCTACAAAAATGTATATTTATCCGTGTCACTTTCCTACACTAAATGCAAACGTTATACATGTAATTTACTTTAAAAGTTTTTCAATTCTATCTTTTTATTCTATGTATAGGCATATAATTATATATAAAAATGAATTCAGTTTACGCTTACTTTCTTACTGCTAAACATAACAAACATTTATAAGCGACTAATAAAGAGGACTTATTTAGAATAAAGTTTAGACAGTCTTTTTCAGATATACATTCTGAAATTGAATTTTAAAGTTTTTATTGATAATTTTATGTAAGTTGGTTGATCGTGTAGACAATGTAATGGACAGCAATGGCTAATAAAATTTTGCATAGATTTAAAACTATGTGGTTCATATAAATTTGTTGTTTTTATCATAGATTGTTGGGTTAAGAAATATTTAAGTTAATTTTAAGACTTACCGTTTTTTATATTTTTTCTGCAAATGTTTTTCCTTTGGTACTAAGCCAACCGATGTTAGATGTCAAAGTCTACTATCAGCAATTTATAGACACCAATGCAACTAGTTTGTTACTGTAGAAACACAGATATAGTCTTCTCAACAGTATATGGACAAGTGTATGGAAAGCTAATCGTGGAATTCTAACTGGTAGAATATTTGACTGTATGTTGTCAGGTGTTCTTTGTAATTATTTTCAAGGGTAATTATATTAATTTACAGCGTATGTGATAATTGTGTTCTGCCTCCGACTTAAGAGTGAACGTTTATGAGGCTTCGGACCGTTCTTTTTGCATATATCTAATAATCACAATTTAACTTAAATGGCTCTTTTACTTATCCAAACTCGGTGTACCCTGTCGCGAATGTACTTAGATATATACAACTATAGTCTTGCAATAATCCCTTTTAATACTATTCTATCTTTGCCCATTCTTTTGCACTTAATCAAATAAGTAGACGTATATATACACAAGTTATATGGAAGGACGAAACGAAAGCCTTCACTGAAGTTGTTAGTTATTCATTTATGCTCATCTAGAATTGAAGCAGTCCAATGAGATAAACGTTGCGAAAAAGCACTTGTCAAAAACTAGAAAATTATCTTCTTTTTTTTTCCTTTCGAGATGATTTTAAAGTAAATGAAGAGAAAAAAAAATCATATATTAACAGACACACACTCACTGGTAAGGGATATCTGCTTTAATCGCATGCAGATGTGAGCATTTCTACACTGGTGTTAGCAAAAAATATTAATATTTGTAAATACACCACCTCCACTTGTACTGAGTACACACAAACACGCTTACACACATTGAATTCTTTGAACTGGCAGGTTTATCTGCTAAGCTGACGTTTGGATAGTTATTCTTCCTTGATTCAAGCCAATGTTTTAAACTAAATAATTCCCTGGATACAAGGCCCAAGAGCCATTCAAGGTAGAGAGTTACTGAACGGAGTTGTAAGAGCGTCAAAGGAGTGAGCAAAAGTTGCATATATGCAGGATACATAATGATTGACTTCAAGATTGTAGTGATCGAAGAAGCATCATCTCGGGAGTCAGTCATATTGAATTTTTTTCTTCGAAATAGTTTTAAAGTAAATGACCTGGAAAATGTACGCAGTAATATTCTCACTACACTGTCACATATTCATAAAAATACTGTATTAATATACGTACACATGCACACTCACTGGTAAAGGGTATATACTTTAATTTCATGCAGGTATGAACATTTCTATCCTGGAGATAGCAGAAAATGTTAACATTTATAAATACAATACACAACTTCCATTTTGATCAATCTCACTCTTTCACTCACACACTCTCACTCTCTTAAACACTATCACTTTTTCATTAATAAACTATTGATCCCACCACATAAAAATAAAAAAAAAATACACGTACGTTTTTTCTCCAGCATTTCTATTGCTGTTATATTTCTTTCTGAAGCCAATAAAAATACTTAAAGGACATGTAGTGATGGGAAAAATAGATGAAACGGCAAAATACAAAGTTTATCTCTTTTTCTTGTATATGTTGAGTCAAAATTTATTTATTTATTTACTTAATTTGTTTGCTTCAAAGGCCTTTCATAGTACTGTCAATAGCTTCCGGGGAAACACACCTGCGAGGTGTCACGACTGAATACGTCCCATGCTTCGTTGACTCCATACAATTAACCTCCTGTCAACCTTCTACATAGAAGGTCCTAATGCCGTGCATTTTGGTCAGCACACATTGAGGGGAAGACTAAAAATTAATTTCCGGAATATTTATTTCACAGTAACATCAATCTTTCATCCCCTTGTCTTTATCTCTGAACTCATTTCTGCTCATTGCAAACTATGCTGACAACGTAGGAAATCTTTCCTCCCGGATGTATAAAGCTATATGGAAATGCTTTCTGCGCACTACTATGCAATCGACACTAATAGTTTAAAATGACACTTGTTGCTATAAATATTTCAATGGTAATTCTTCTAATGTCTTGGTGCCTCTATTTTATAAATTAAAGCGCAGTACTATATTGGCAGTTAGGTCTCATCATTTTATAATTCAGATTGATAGATGTTCTATGCTGACAGTTTCTGCTCCCCTACTTGTGGAACTTTCTTCTGGCTTCTTGCTTTCTGGTCAACTTTGAGCTTCAAAGATTTAAATTCAATGTCAATCTTTATCTTCTGTCTCCTTAATTATTGTTCTTGTTATTTTCCTCTCTCCTTAATGTATTTTAAGAGATTCCTTCACACTCAGTAAACCCCTGGGTCTTAATGGGTTTATTGCCTCGATTGAAATGATTTAAGAAAAAAATAATGTATTTTATCATCAGCAATTGTCTCGGTTTAACAGAAATAAATTTAGATTACAATTGTTTTTTTGTTTTTTTACTAAGTTGGAGTCTGTAAGGTTTTTATTCAAATACAGAATAGCTGTAAACGAGATATAGGAAAAATCCAAGTATTTGTTTCTTAATTTTAAAACAGTATTTCTTTCGTCATTATTTTCGATCCGCGCTGTTTAATAACGACCATACAATGACGATCTGAATAGTTGTGATGAAGAGCAATTAAACAAGTGAGAAATTGATAGTCGTTGATAATGTTTCATTTAATAAAAGAAATCAAGATAACATTACTAACAACTGCTGTAGGTTGAGGGTCTGAGTAGTGATTAAATGCAGTTAATGATTGATAGTGGTTTATCTGATAACAAATATTCACGATAATATTACTTTTAATATTGGTTCTACCAACATAACAAATTTAGTCCGATGAAGTCCTGAAGGGCGAAAGGCGCCACAAGTGAACTTTTTCCACTTTTTTCATACATCCTCCCCAATATATATATATATATATATATATATATATATATATATATATATGTGTGTGTGTGTGTGTATATATATATATATATATATGTGTGTGTGTGTGTGTGTGTGTGTGTGTGTGTGTGTGTATATATATATATATATGTGTGTGTGTGTGTGTATATATATATATATATATATATGTGTGTGTGTGTGTGTGTGTGTGTGTGTGTGTGTGTATATATATATATATATATATGTGTGTGTGTATATATATATATATATATGTGTGTGTGTGTGTGTGTGTGTGTGTGTGTGTATATATATATATGTGTGTGTGTGTGTATCCGAATATAATGAGAACGAAAGTACTATATAAATTCTAACGTGCACAGCATTAATTAAAAAAAGGCCTCAATATCGATAGTAGAGCAATAATTATTTATTATAATTTTTTCATATAGACAAAAACAATTTACTCATGACAAAGATGCAACTTCATCGGAGTTGCATCACGACTGGTGAGAACCAAAATGGTCGTGAACAATTCTGTTTGTATATGAATGATAATAATTCAAGTAAACGTTTGTTTTATTAGTTAGATATTTGATTGTAGAGGTTAAGTGTTTTTCTATTTATATAAGATTTTACATGCTTGCGACTCTATGTCATTTTTATCAAATATTATTAATTCCGTTTTCATTATTCTAATACAGGTATGGTTTAAAAATCGCCGCGCCAAATGCCGACAGCAACAGAAAGCTCAGGAAGGTAAAAAGCCGACCCCGAAAAAGACAAAGTCTCCATCACCGCCGACCAGTTCCCCAGGGACTCCTTCTTACAAAACTACACCGATTACGAGTCCTTCCAATGGGAGCATGAATTCTTCGCCGCCAATCTGGAGTCCGGTTTCTGTACCTTCGGTCAATGATTTGATGGCCCCTAATAGCTGCATGCAGCGGACAGGATACCCAATGACCAATGGTCAAACTGCCGCGTACACGCCGCAAAACTACGGCCATTCTGGTTATTATGGCAACATGGAATACCTACCGCCGATGCAGCTGCCTGTGATGTCCACAAACCAGATGACCTCACCAATGTCCAGCATTACAAATGCCCACACCACACAGATGGGGTCGTACGGTCCGTTGTCAGGTGCTCAGTCTTTGGCCCGCCCGAACCACAGTGAATGCTTGGAATATAAGGATCCTTCAGGATGGGCTAAATTTCAAGTGCTGTGAAAGAGAATTCAGTTAAAATGAACTCCTTCCTATTCAAATACAGATTGGAAGTCTAAATCTTAACATATATAAAGGAAACTTGAAACAAAACTAAAAAAGCTGAAGAAAAACAACAGTAATCTATATGCATATATGTGTATCTCTATGTATATATCTATGTTTATCTGAATGTATACATACGTTTTCACATATATATGTGTGCGCATACACGTACATACATATATAATGAACGCTGTTCATAAGACAATATAAGATATAATATCATCATGACCAATGTAACAATTCACTTTAACAAATTAACAAATAACTTTAATAATTAACAATTTAAGTTAAGATTAGACACTGATAAAAAAGAAACGACAGTCAGAAACATATCTATTAAAGAATAAAGAGGTTCAAGATTTTTTTACAGAAAATATCAAGTAAAATATTCAAAATTACACTCCTAGTTATAAAGGCGAATAAATTATGAAAAATAGTGGTAAATAATTATTCGCAGTCATTCCGTTTTTACATATGTGAAAATTACAAGATTCTTCCATATAAATCCTCTCTACTTTATAGAACATTCAAATAGATATTCTTTATCTTTTCTCAAAGATTTTGTCTTGGTACAAAACAAAAATGCTTCTAGAGTCATGTTACTTGTAATGACCTCCGCCCCCCTACAAAAAAATCAACTGATGTTATTAATAATTACCAGTTATCTCTTAATCTATTATAAGTTATCTTTGAAATGAAATGCCATTGTCAGAAGAATATTTGATGAGTGCGTGGATGTGCAAATATATAAGTGTGTATGTGTGTGCGCGTGTGCTTCAGTTGTTCCTGTACTGATGTGTAAACGCACGTGTCTCTACACATTTGTATTGGTGTAAGCGCGTTCTATCTCATTAGAACTTCAATCATTACTTTTTGGGAGCGTATAATAAACGTTTTCCCATGAATTATTCTATTACATGCGACTGCCCAAGTCCTTTTAATGTGAAAAAAAAAGAAAGAAAAATTATTATTATTATTATTAATATTATTATTATTATTATTATTATTATTATTATTATTATTATCATCATCATTATTATTATTATCATTATGATTATTATGATTATTATTAATATTTACCACCTTAGGAGATAAATGAGATCCAGCGATTTTTTTTGGATGAATTAGGAGTATAAAAATGTTGATGTAAGCGAAAAAAAACAATGAAGTAAAAATTCATCGGACATTGTGCAATGAAGTTAAAATGAATAAAAAAAAAAAGAACTGAAAAAATGCATAGCTTATTCTCCTGGTCGTTTGTAAACTTGTGGATGGGTTTCTGTTTCTTTTAGGTTTTTTTTTAATTTTTTTGTTTTTAATTTATTTTTTTTTTAAATATTGTTTCTTAAGCCATGGATTGGCAAAATACTATTATTTTTTTTCTTTTTCTTTCTTTTTAATATGCATCCCCTCTCTCTTGTGAACAGATTTTTTTATCTTCGAATTCAGGGCATCAAGAAAACCAGTAGTTCTATTTTTTATTAATCCATTGGACTATGTACTTAAGTCCTCACAACAAATTTTGAAACAATTCTCCCGAAATTGCGAACTGTGACGCAAGAAATGTAAAAAAAGAGAAAAAAAAAATGAAAAAGTATAAAAAAAAATAAACAAAAACAATTTTAAAAAGCTACAAATATGTATGTACTTCCTGTTTTTTTTTCTTTTGTTCTTGTAACCGCACCTATTGAATATTTGCTTCTACCCATAACCTGGGTTTTGGCGAAAACCGCCATATTGGTACAATTGGCGGGAATGAAGCAACAACAATTATTAACAATCAAATCATGAACATAACTATGACAACAAGAAAAAGACATACGTAAAATTATTGCCGCCATCACTATCAAAACCAGCAGCAACAATAAAGAAATTTAAAGAAAACCAAAACTGAACTCACCTTAATTAGGTAGTATGATTTACAAACCTATTGTTTTTATTTTATTTATAAACTTTATATAATGTCAAAACTGTATTTTCTTGTTTTTATTATTATTATTATTATTATTGCTTAATCTTTTGTAAATGTCCGTAGAAATTAATGTTGGGCCAAATTCTACTTATTTTATATTTTTTGTATGGTTTCAAATCCCACGGGGTCTAGAATTTTAAAAATTTATTTTCACTTTTTAGAATAAAACTGGCTCCATTTATTTTTAAATCTATTTATTTGTGTATTGGTAAAAACTAACGTAGATCAAATATTATTTAATAGGAAAATAAATTCTTTTATAGAAATATTACGCAACATTATTTATTAGAAAAATAAATATTCTTATAGAAATATAACACAATAAAATTATTAGTTACCGTAAACTGCTTGTAAGTTTTATTTTTAAAACAAAAATTCAAGAATATATTTTCTTAGAATACAGTAAATGTTTATTTAAAGTTCCCAAAATCTATAACATCAACATAAAGGCACGCACACTCATTATATAACACATACATATAACACGATAACACGCATACATACACACTTATATGGGATATGTACGCATGAACATTTTCTATGCAAAACGTATGAGAAGATGCATTTGTGTGCCTGATTTTGCGTATAATTGCACGTGATTGTTTCGAATATACGTGCGCATGCGTGTGTATGTTTGCGTCCATTGGTATTCGTATGTTGATGAACGAGTATCATGAAAACGTTCAAATAAGTTATATATATGATCGAATGTTTGATCTCTATATTTTTGTACACATCATAGTAACAATATTAATCATTCTTTTTGTTTTGAATTTAATTAGTCATCGAAGAGAAACAAATTAATCCACGTAAAATGTGTCATTGCTTCTAATTTCCTTAAAAAATTACCAGATAAAATTTATGTATATTTCCACTTGATCACCTAAGTTTAATCTCTACACGTATATTTAGAATTATAAATAGAGGTTGTTAAAATTAATTATTATTTTTCTTTGTATAAATATATTATAAAAAATGTACAGAAAAATTAAAAACTAAAAATGTAAACATTTTTCCTACATGTGGTAGGTGGTAGACATGTTGGTTATCTTCAATATTTTAGAATAGTTTATATAAATTTAATTGCATACTAGACAAATGATTTTTTAAGATGATTTTTATATATATATATATATATATATATATATATATATATATATATATATATATATATATAAAAAACCAAACAAGTTTGATTAAAAAAGAACCGGAAAGGTCTACCTATTTCATTTTTTTATTGTATTTTCCCAATTTTTCGAAACAGGTGTTAAGTATCGTACTTGAAATCGTGGATAAACTGTCCGAAGTTAGTATTGTGTTATTTTCTTCTTTTCAGTTCTGTCTACCACACTGACACCAACCTGGTTCTTGAAAATGAATGAGACTGTGAAAAGTACTTGAACAAATGTATAGCACAATATGAACTTTGTACAATTTATCCACAATTTCGAGCACAATACTTAACACTCTCTTCAAAAAGTGGAAAAATAAAATAAATAAAATTGAAAAACTTGTCTTTTCTTTTTAATTAAACTTGTTTGATTGAATAGTTGCTGCCTAAATAGACCATATATATATATATATATATATATATATATATATATATATATAATTTAAAAAAGAAAAGAAAATGTTTTTTGTTTATAAGGTAGGAGACATGTTTGCTCAATACAGAAAGATAATAATTGTTATCATTAAACAATTATCTTTCTCTCTGTGTGCATAGATTACAAACCTAGTCAGTGCACGCGTGTGATATGTAATCATAAGAAAAAGGTGATTCTTTTAAAATATTTAAAAAACAAAAATCATAGATCTTTCTATTGTAGGCTTGTTGTTCGAGTGTTAAATATAAAAATGTTGTTTGCTTCTACTGTCGTATGTTTTTATCTATTTCTAATAGACAAATCAGTTTCTTAAAATATGCAAAACATTTTTACAAGGAGGAAATCGACATTATATTTAATATTTTTGCCCTTACCCGTGACACTTATTAAATTCATTTAAATAAGTGGGCACCCAGTTAATGAGTTAAAAATTAAAGATCCCTGGAGCAAAAATAAAAAAATAAAAGTATGATAGTAATTCAAACAACATGCAATATATTAAAAGAAAAGAAAATGGCGCTATATATGGCGGAGACCATATATTGATTGGAATGCTTAATGAAACAAAAGAAATAGTCGGTGATGATATAACATCAAATAAAAATAGAATTTGGAAACATAATATGAAGAAGTTGTCATAGACAACTAACCAACAAGAGTGGAAAAGAAAGAAACAGAAAAAAAACAACGCTTTAAGCTATACAGGTAAATTGTGCATGTGTACATAAATGTGTGGATGAACGTGCGTACATGGATATGAATGCATAAATATTATATAGATGAAACATAATACGTGTATGCGTGTGTAATATATATAATATAAAAGCCATATGCGTGTATATACGCATCTTTTTATTTGGCTGTATGAATGCATTTGTCTATCTTCGCTTTATGTATAAGTGTTCATGCGTGGGTATGATGCATCTAAACCATACACTACACATATATTTACCTAATTTTGTACTTTTAGAAACTAGTTAAAACTATTTTCTACTTTCTTAAACTTTTAATTTTAGGTCGTTTATTTCCTCCTTTATGAAACTAGAACTAAATTACTTAAACAAGAAAAGACAAAACAAACTTTTCAAATGAATAGCAAAGAAAATTAATGACTTATCAGCATGTATTTTATTTTTTGGATTGATGTTTCAAATATTTGATTTAATATGAATTTATTTTTGTTTTTATTTTCCAAAAGTACAAATAAAAACATTAAAAACTAAAATAAAAAGCACCTACGAAGTATTTTGCTTTTTATTCCATAATATTTTTTTAAAATATTACTTTTTAATTGCCTTCATTTTCAGATCATCTTGATTCTACGCTTATTTTTACCAATTTGATTTTTTTCTTTCTTCCCTAAATTATTTTCCCATTTT